CCCCAAAACCCCAAAACCCCAAAACCCCATATAATTTGATCTTGATTGAATTTTAAAACTCTATGACATCTTCTTCCTCTGTAGCCTCTGCTGAATTTATGAATGTTGTAGTGCCAGAATCAAGTGTAGTGATAGTGTCTCCGTCAATAGTGTCTATCATAACATTTTTAAAGCAATAGACATATTTCAAGCAATGGTTTGGTACTACAATGCTATTGAACAAGACATTTACAAACTCCAGCTTTAGATAACTTGTTGTAGAGAAATAAGTCGAAGGAAAAGATCCTGATAGCTGATTGTCTGATAACTCAAGTCCAACCAGTTCTGGAGAAGTCAGAATTGGAGCACTTCCAGTAAATTGGTTGTTATCGAGTTCCACAAATTTCAGTTTTTGCAGTGTTGAAAGAGAAGCAGGTAAATTTCCACTTAGAGAACTGTGGGAGATTTGAAAGTTTTCCAAATTTGGCATATTCCCAAAGTTATCAGGCAGGCTCCCAGTAAAGGTATTATAGCCAAGATTTGCACTTTTTAGACTAGCTAGGTTGTTGAATGTAATGTCTAGAGTACCAGTCATACCGAGGTTAATGAAGTTAATTTCTTCTAGATTTACTAACTCATGAATTTTGGGGTTCCAAGCAGATATAGTATTTTTATTAACATTATCCTCTCCTTCATACTCCCTCGCATCATTCCATATATTTAAATATATGAGGTAAGTTAGATCAGAGATAGAATCTGGAATTGTTCCTGTAAGTTTATTCTCGAAGAAGTTTATCGCTATTATTTGTCCATATTTATTTCACATTATGCCGTACCAAGAATTCTGACATGGATCACCAGTGTTCCAATTTGTCTTCACCAACCAATTTGCTCCATCTGTTGATGTATATAAATCTACAAGAGCTTGTTTTTCGGCTGCACTGGTAGCTTGATTTCAATACTCTGCATCACACAATACTCTAGAAGTAATTCTCTCAAATGAAAATTTAAGTGAAATCTCATTTTCAGCTGTTTCATCAATAATGCCTTCATAAACACCATCCATGGTCTATAAATTAACTATTATATTACCTTGATAACCATACTCTCTGTCTCGTGCCATTCAATATGCCCATAAACTCCTTGAATTCTTAATGAGAAAGTTCCAGCACTGGTAACAGCTGACCCTGAAAATGCCTCTTTAACCAGAATGTTAAGTTCAGAAAGTTTTCTACATTCCAAAGTTCCAGAGAAACCGCTTAAAGATGTTCAGGAGAAGTCATAATGAATCGTTATACCTTGTGGGAATTTAATGAGGATCAAATCATTCTGGTTTGCAGAAGTTGAGGTAGTAAAAGTAATATCCACATTACCAGTCTCGTGCCTATTCTGAGTACTTTGAGTTAGAGAAGGAGATGTTATGCTATTAGGTAAGCACTTAAAACCTTGAGTGATTCCATGAACAATAAGAATTGAATTTACAATCGTCTTAATCTCGAAATGAATTCCTGAGATATAATGTGAGCTTCTAGCATTAGGAATTCCTGAAATAACCAAGGTAATTGTAGTATTAAATGCATATGGGTCTACCAAGTAATCAGTAACTTTTATATATTTCTTAGCCCCTTCTACAACTCCTTGGCATACAGGAGAAGAGGCTATTTTCTCAGGATCTGTATTCAACTTAGTCTTTGACGTGCATGTATATGAAACATTATCCAACTCATACAGTTCAAAGTCAAAATATATAAGGATTTGAGTCGCAGTTATCCATGAAAGATTTGGAGATCTTATCACAAAAGTATATTCTGAAGCTTGTCTCACAAACTGTGGTGTAAAGGAAAATGAATCTACATCTTATCACTATGAAATTACCGACCACTATGTCTCATTGGCATATCGAAAGTAGGAGAAGTAAGAATATTTTCTTGCACATTTGTAAAATATTATATAATCTCAAGATACCTCAAATATTTAGGGGTTTTGGGGTTTTGGGGTTTTGGGG